CCCCCCCCTCTCCCCCTCTCCCTCCCTCTCTCTCTCTCTTTCTCCCCTTCTCCCCCTCTCCCTATTCCTCTCCAAAACAGTCCCCCCGTCTCTCTCCCTGCTTTGACCACCCCCTCCCCGCCCCCCTATGTCCCATCAATACCAGACTTCACCCACGCACTCCCCCCTGCACGCCCCATGTCTCATCCTATCAACATCAGCCATCTATCAGGTCTTTGAACGGCAATATTGTTTGGGAATAGATACCGACACACTGGCGTCACAACCCAGACAAATAAACCTTCCCCAAGTCAAAAGACCAAAACAAAGACACAAAAAGAAACATCCAGACGTATTATCATTTAAAAATGTAGCATACATGTTATTTTCATATTTCTGATCCACAACAGTCGGTCCCTCTGAACCACATAATTCTCTTTTGTCTACATACAATCTGCTTTTATCCATGTTGGTCTGTTGGAAATTGGTTCTAGTAGATCAAATGCAGATTGGATTTCTATCGATGTAACGTGTCACAAGTTGAAACAGAATCCTGGCAAGTTGGAATAGCCTATCTATCTAAAAACGCAATGTTTATATTCGTATTTTATGTTTTCCCACAAACCTGATAAAAGTATTTAAACAGAGCTAAAGTGCGTTGTACGGTTCTATTTCAGTCACGACTGAACAATACCAGAGCTATCCTGTAGATCATTATCTATCAAAGCCCGGAACATTCTCTTTTCCATCTGAAGCTAAAAACGGGCCACAGCCCTTCTGTTTCGCTATGCTTCATTAGGGCATCAATCTGCATAAAAAGGTACGTGCTTCAGATTCAATTATATATACATGAGATGCATCGGAATTCGGATGACTCTTTATAAGTGAAAGTAGTATTAGGTAGAGAATTATATTGTGGTACTCTTTGTTAAGCGTTTGCACAAAAGTCAGTTAGAATTTTGCAAATTTGGAAGTTTAATGGTAAAATAATTCTCATTTCAACGAAAATATACGAAAAAGGAAAGCAGCCCAGCGAGAATATAATCCATCTATGTGTAGGGAGCTTAAGTTTAGAATAAATTTGTACCGTGTTTCATACAATATGCATAAACAAGGAAATGAATAAGTGAATGGGAATTCTAATAGAGAAATAATTGAACTCATTAAGTTAATCAAATAAGTAAGCAGAAAAAAGGTATAATAGTGCATAAATGTAAAATAAATAAAGAAAGAAAACATACAGACACTTTCATAACGAGCTACAGCTGAAAATTGATACTATCTCACCACTTCGAGTTTTTGAGTTCGATTATTAATAACTAGAAGACCACGTTCCAAGAAAAGAAAAATAACAATGATAAAAAAGACTAGATAAACCAACGCGTTGATTAACAGACAAATTAACACATTTTGAGGATAAGTACTTGAACAGATTAAAAATAAACCAACAAATGGATAATGAATGAATTATTAAATGAAAAGGTAGATGAATCTGTACATGAATATACACACACAAGGAAATAAATAAATACAAACTTGGATAAGAATGGAGCAAACTAACAAATAAGATTATCTTAAGATAGTCATGATATATGAAGAAAACAAAAAACAAAAAACCCAATTAAAACAAAACAAAACAAAACAAAAAACCTAAGCAAGGAGATAAAGGTAAGAAAAGGAAGAAGTCATTGTGAAGGTGAGGAAATATGAGATTAGACACCCCCCCCCCACACACACACCAGTTTTTCAATAAAATGGAACCAGGGCGATCTGTGCTAAACAATGCGTTAATTTTGACAGAGATGAAAGAAGATCGCTATCTTCAACGAATGAGTGACATTTTGGGTAAGCTACAGTTTTTTAAAAAATTCTCTGAATGATGATGATGATGATGATGATGATGATGATGATGATGATGATGATGATGATGATGTTGATGACGATGATGATGATTCAGTTTCTGCTGTCGATCATATAATTTTCTTTTCTGTTAGTGTTAGTCCCTGCAGGTTTTCTCATTTGTATTGACGTTGTTAAGATTACACAAAAATATGATACAAGCAGACACTGTGGAAAGAACCCCCCTCCCCCCCCAACCCAACAAACCTTGAACCCCTGTGAGACAGAGCAATGAAGACGATCGTGCTATAATTGTGATTTTGACACAGTGAAAACTTAAATTCAAATAAAAACATTTGTTTT